TAGGCTTAAGGTTGGGAGGACATGAAACAGAGTTTATTCTTGCATCTTATTTATTAATTTTATTATTAGTTTGTATTACAACTGTAAACCTACTTTTGTTCACCCCTTTATAAAGACACATTTTATATAAACACACCCATATGCTATATTTTCCAAAAGAAACAATGAAAGGATAAATGTAAATTAATTTAAATGTGCATACCTACCTGCAGAAGAGAGGGAAGAACAGAGTAAGTTTGAAGAAACATGAGCCTTCTATGATTTTGTTTTATAGTTTGACTTTGTAAATGTGCAATCATTTTTGTTTTTTAACCCTTTACATTAATTATCTGGTTTTTTTTCTTAGATCCGTATTTCCACCTTGTATCATTTTCCTTCTGCCTAAAGGACATTAATATTTCTCATACTGTGCGTCTATTGGTAACTAATCCTATCAACTTTTTATGTCTGTGTTTATTTCTCCTTAATTTATGATATATATTATTATTAGACACAGAATTCTGGGTTGAACTTCAAAGATGTTGCTCTGCTATCTTCTGTTTTCCTACACATGGTTTGTGATGAGAAATCTACTGGATCATTTTCTTTGTTCCCATGTATATGATATATATTTTTCCTCAGGCTGTTTTTAAGAATTTTTTTTAATCCTTAGTTTTGAGCAATTTAGTTATGATGTGTCTTGGTGTAGTATTGTTTATATTTCCTGGGACTCATTGAGCTTCTTGGATCTGCAGGTTTAAACAAATTAGAAAAATGTTAGTCATTGTATATTTAATTATTAAAAACTCCAATTATGAGTATATTAATTATACAATTTAGAGTTATCTCACATTCCACTGATGCTTTTTTCATGTAAACAATCTTTTTCTCACTCTTGCTTTGTCTACTAATTTTAACAGATGTGTTAATTCTGGTTCAATTTCCATTCCTTGATTTTTCTCATTTTTAAAATATATGTTTTTATTGACTTTAGAGAGAAGACAGAAGAGGGGGAGAGAGAGATAGAAATATAAATGATGAGAGTCATTGATAGGCCGCCTCCTGCACGCCCCCTACTGAGGATCGAGCCCGCGACCCTGCCATGTGCCCTGACAGTGAATCAAACCGAGATCTCCTGGATTACAGGTTGATGCTCAACCACTGAGCCATGCCAGCAGGACTATTTTTTAATTTTTTTAATTTATTGATTTGATTGAGAGTGAGAAAGAGAAACACTGATTTGTTGTTCCACGTATTTATGCATTCATTGGTTGATTCCTGTATGTGCCCTGACCAGGAACCTGCAATCTTGGCGCATCAGGATGACACTCTAACCAACTGAGCTACCTGGCCAGGGCTTTTCTCCTGATTTTTTATTGTTTTATCATGGGTCTTTATATGAAGATAACTTTTTATCAGATACATGATACATGATTCTGTCCATTTTAGCTTGTTAGGTGATGGTTATTTTCGTATTTTTGTAAGTATTCTTGACATTTTTTTTGGTATGGATTTATATTACTTGGCATTTTGATCCATTTGAGTCCTGTTTTTAAAATTTGTAAGGCAAGACAAAAGTGGTGGTTGGGGTTAGGGATAATTACCTCTCTCTATTAAGGAAAGATCCTTTTGAGTACTCTGCACATTTCCCAAGATTATTAGGTTTTCCAATCCTGCTAGTGGGAAGAGGCAATATTCCCAGTACTGTGTAAGCATTAGGTAATATGCTCTCCTGTCCTTTAGAGTGATTCATTCCCTGGCCTTGGATATGTTCTTCATATGTGTGGGCTAGTCAATACTCTGCTAAACACTCATCTTTGGAGCTCTGCCTCTGGGCAGGTCTCTCCTTTCTGGTATTTCTTTATGGCCTGAACATTCTCTCAGGGCAGTAAACTAAAGCAATCATAGAACTCACCATGTTGGTTTTCCTCCTCTCAGGGATCATGTGTCTTGCCTAATTTCGTGTGTCTTGCTTTTTCAAATATGTGTTTTATTTTTATTGTTACAAGTAGAAAAATTACTTCATCTTCGCCAAAAGCGGAAGTGCTGTTGGCTAAAACTTCAACAAGAGTTTCTCCTGTCATCCATTACTGAAATCATCCAAGAAAACTAGGCATCTCCTTTCTCATATCAATTTCTATAAATGCCAGAAAAGATAAACCATGATGTGTTAACAAATAAACCCTGAAGTCATGCAAGCTCTCCACATCACCTGTTCTCCATGCAGTGCCTTCTGGCTGTTTACACCTTGGTTTCATCATGGTCAACACATGTTCTTCAGAGTCACTATTCAGAGAGCTAAAGGGCTGCATAGAAATTTTATGACTAGACCTAGAACCATAAGCCATTCTCATCCATGTCTCTCTGGCCAGAATTAGTCTGATGACCATAGCATGCTTACCCTAAATGTCTCTATCACAGACTGCTTTTGTGGTCATCAACTGCTGTTTTATACCTTTTCTCTAATATACAGAACAAATCCAAGGCCTCCCTCAAAGGATAAAACCCAATATCCTGTTCAGTTATTGAATCAGAGCCTAATATCGCTGAGCGGCATGCAACAATCTCTCTAACAGCATTGGTTGTGGATACTTATGGCCATGTGACTGTGTGTGTCCTCCACAGAAACAATATTCAGTGCTAGCACAAGGACAAGACAACTACAACAAAAATTTCTATTCAGAAAGTAGAAGAATGGGAGCCACACAGCAATCATTGTTTCAGAGCAATTTTGAGTTTGTGGGAAATGGGGATACCTTCAACCTTTTACATTTGCTGAGGCACTTTTTAATCAATCAAGTGGATTTGGTGTCACATACTTCATCTCCTCTTTGCCCTGAGCTTTTTATTTATATGCAAGTTCTATGACATTTGTCTCTCAAAGCCTTTTCAAAGTCTTATCTTTTATATGCTATAGAGAAACAGTTTTTTCCCCATCTCTCAAAAGCCCCACGTCTTAGTTCTCTCTTTTATTTCTGTTTCCAAATGGCCAATTTTATACTCATAAAATTATGTTGAACCCACATTACAACCAACAAACACTATTAATGTTCTGTTTTCCAATTTCTGTTTTGACCTTCAAATTCAATAGACTCATGGTCTGCCTCCTAATTTATAGATCACATTCTTCCAAATGCTTTGGCCTGAACAATTTGGATTTCTATCATTCCTGTCTCACTGCCTTCCAGCTACCTGTTAAATACTTAGTTCAGTCAGGCTTGCCCCTATCATTTATGGGTCAGAAGAAGAAACATAGAAGGCCACATTGTGTCTCATTGTTTGCTCAGTAATTCAATCCTTATTGAGTAAAAAATATGTGGTCAATGAGGAAGAAAGGTGGACATCTGTAATACTTTCAACAATAAAGATAAATTAAAAAAAAGAATATGTGGTTTCAGGAATTTCACCTAATGAATTCAGTTTTGGATTTAATCAGAATAATTAAGCTCACTTTCATTGATGAAACCTGTAAATTTTTATTTTTTTCAAAAATAATCAAAACTGTATATTAAAATTAAAAGGCAAAATTATAATGGATGAATATCAATTCTAGGTATTTTAAATATTTTAAAAATTTTTTAGAGTCTAATGAAGTCTTCCTATCAATATAAAATTACTGGCCATTGTAGTGTCTGTGCCCAGCTTGTGGCCAATGTAAAGAACTGATGGACATGCTTCACTTAGGTAACATACAGATCTACATTTATCCCTACTTAACAGTAATGGAAATTGTTACCATTGCAAAATGTCCCCCTTAACTTCAAAATGGGAATATGGAGAAATGAGGAAGCAGATCACTAGTACTGATAACAATATTATATTAGGCAAGAACAGTGCTTTCCTGCTGAAAGAAAAGATTTGGCAAGTGTATCTTTTATCTAAGAACTTCCATAGTTCAAATATTTCTTAGACTCTATATCACTTCTGTCCCCAATGTCATCAGCAACAATGATCACATACTCATCTGCCATTTATAGATCTTTGTTGTTTTAAAACCATGAGACAAAAGATGTGCACAGTCTTGTGGGTCACACTGAACCCATGCTAAAGTTAGAATGAAGAGAATCTTTTGTTTTATAATACACTGTGTAAGTGTGTGTGCATTTGTGTGTGTGTATCTGTCATATGTAATAGCCTATAAAGTCAGTGTTCAGCATGGATCCCCCATACTAGGTCTCAGGGTAGTATGAGCTTAGATTTTTATCATGACTGCACCCTATTTTCAGCAATATGTTTTTTTAAGAGGCTAGCCTAGGCTTTGGTATGAAATAAAACTTGATAGCTCAGTGATTTAAGTAAATAAATTTTAATTTTCTTACTTGCAGAGTTTGTAAATAAGTTGAGTTAAAATTCCTCCTCTCTGGCTGGAGCAAGGAGGATTGCCCAACCCCAGCTTGTTCACTGACAGGCAGTATAATGACAGATCTCAAAGTCATTCAATGGCTAATTGATTTACCAACTGATTCTCTTGCTATTCTAAAGAGGATTAGCATCCTTTTACTTTCTTCTCATTTTCAATTTTTTGTTGAATTAATAAGACTTTTATACTCAGATTACTGTTCTTAATTGAAAATGTTTGTTATGCTGGGGGAAACTAATGAAAACACAAATAAAATTTAAGGTAAGTTTCAAGTTTACAGAGAAACTGGAACCATTGTATACTGTTAGTGGGAATATAAAATTATGTCACAGCTATGGAAAACAGTATGGAGATTACACAAGACATTAAAATTATAACTACCATAACATCTAAAAGTCTCATTTCTGGATATATATCTAAAAAATTGAAAGCAGGATCTTGAAGAGATATCTGCACTCCCATGTGTATTGCAGCAGTGTTTACAATAGCCAAGATATAGAAATAACCCAAGGGTCCATCAACAGACAAATGCGTAAAGAAAATGTACTATATACATACTATATACATACAATGGAATATTATTCAGCCTTAAGAAATAAGAAAAAATAACCCATGGACACAGACAACAGTATGGGGAAGGCCTGCAGTGGGGTGGTGGCTGGGTGGAGGGGGGCAGAAAGGGAGAAAATGGGAGACATCTGTAATACTGTCAACAATAAAATAAAAATATAATAATAAAAAATAAATAGTGCTATTACCAAATACTGAAAAGGATGTGGAGAAACCATACCTGCCATACTTGGCTGGTGGGAATGTAAAATGGTACAGCCACTCTGGAAAATAGTCTGGCACTTTCGTCCTAAAAAACCAAATGTACACTTACCATAAGACCGAGCAATCACACTCCTTCGCAACTTTCCTTTTCCTTCTTTTTTTCTAGAAAAAGGAAAACTTATTGCTATACAAAAACATGATCACACATGTTCAATGCAATTTATTTGTAATAGCCCAAACTTATAAATATCCAAAGTTCCATCAATAGGTGAAGATTAAACAGTGGTACATCCATTCCATGGCATACTACTCAGCAATAAAGAGGAATAAACTAATGAAACATGGAAGTGTGGATGGATTTCAAGGGAATTACGCTGTGAGAACAAAAAGCCAATATCAAAATAGTTGCATACTATGGGATTCTATTTATATAAAATTCTTAAAATGGCAAAATTATAGAGATGGGGAACAAATTAGTGAATGCCATGGGTTAGGGACAGGGTGGTGGAGTGAATATGACTTAAAGGGTTAGCATGAGGGATCACTGTGGCGATAGAGTTATCTTGATTTTGGCTGTGGCCACTTCAATTTACACATAATAAAACTACATAAAAATACACACACACAAATATATGCATGTAAAACTGTTGAAATCTTATGGTCTGCTGATTGCACCAATGTCAATTTTTTTATTTTGATGCAGTATTATAGTTACATAAAACATAACCAATTGGGAAACTAGGTGATATTTACACAGGACTTCTGTCTACTACTTTTGTAACCTTTTGTGAATCTATAATTAATTTAAAATGAAAATATTTTTAAAACTATTTGCCAATAATAGCTACATTAAGACATTGTCTCTTTTGTCAAAAATCGTTTCAGGACTCTACGCTCTTCAACTGGGCTCTTTGTCTACCCTTGTGCTAATACCATAATTCCTAAAATAGCTTTATGATGTCTTAATATCTGATAGAGTAAGTCTTCTCACTTTTATTTATTTATTTTTTTACACATAAAATAAGACATTTATTTTGCTAGAGAACAGATTTTATTTTTCATTTTCCCAAAACGCTAAAATAGCACATGGCGTGGTAATCTAACACATGACAGAGACTGGTATATGCTGTTTTACTTTTTAAAGATTGTCTTAGCTATTGTTGATTCTTTGAATTTCCATATAAATTTCATAATCAATTTCCAAAAAAAGACTCGACTTGAATTTTCATTAAAAGTGAATTAAATATCAGGATGAATATTCTTTGCAATATCGAACCTTCCGGTCCATGAATATTATATATCTTTCCATTTATTTAAGTCTTTTCCATTTTCTCTGACTGATCTTTTGTACTTTTCAGTATAGAGATATTTTTACATCATTCATGTATTGTACTTATAAATATTTCATATTTTTGACACTGTTTCCAGAGTGTATGTGGAAATACAGTTTTGTCTATTTTCCTGGTATCCAGCAACTTTGATAATTTCACTTATTTCTTACAGTCTTGCTTGCACATTCATTTGAATTTTCCATGTATGCAGTCATGTCATCTGTAAATAATGGTAAATCCTAATCAATCAGACATTTTATATCTTTTGTCCTATATATTTACAGTGCACATATTTTATACAGCCTAACCTCCAGTACAATATTAAATAGAAATAATGAGCCCTAGCTGGTTTGGCTCAGTGGTTAGAGGGTCGGCCCACCAACTGATGGGTCCCAGGTTCAATTCTGGTCAAGGGCACATACCTCAGTTGCAGGCTCCAGCTCCCGGGCTGCATGAGTGAGGCAACCAATTGACGTGTCTCTCTCTCATCAATGTTCCTCTCTATTTCCTTCCCTTTCATTCTTTCTGAAAAGCAATGGAAAAAATATCCTCAGATGAAGATAAGTAAGGAAATAGAAATAATCTTGTTTCATTCCCAATCTTGAGTGGAAGCTTTCAATATTTCATCATTTTATACTGATGCTTGCTGTAAGGTTGGATTTTTTTTTTATATAGATACTCTTGATCAAATTAAGGAAATTATATTTCTTCTAGTGTCTTAGAAAGATTTTCCCTTTTTAATTATAAATAGGTCCTCATCCTTTACTTATGATATGCTTGCATAATTTTCAAATTACTAGACTGTGAACTCTGACTTATTTAATTATATTCAAACATTTGTTGACTGCCTCTACTTACCCAGGCCATCAGGTAAGCACAAGAAATACAAAAATGAACTGCCACAGAATGGGTCATAGAGTGTTTCTGAAGTACAACTTAAAAGAACAGTGAACATAATAAATGCCAAAGAAAAACTATATTTTATGAAAATTAAAAATTTAAACAAAGTTTAATTAATTACAATAATTAGAATAACTTTAATGCAAACAAATATGCACAATAACAATTCAATTTAAATTATTTTTGTCTTTCAGACTTGGGATGAAGCTTTAGCAAAGACTGCAAAAGCATGGGCAAACCAGTGCACATTCGGTCATAACCCCTGTACATCAAAACCATATCAGTGTCACCCAACTTTTAAATATTCAGGAGAAAATATCTGGTTAGGTGGATCAATCAAATTTACACCAGTGTCTGCCATTGGTGCTTGGTACAATGAAATCCAATTTTATAATTATAGTAGTCTACTTTGTTCCAAAGTTTGTGGCCATTATACTCAGGTAAATAAACATTTTATTGATTAGTTCTTATTTATGCACATTTCAATCACAAGACATGTTTTTTAGCATTTTCTTTTGAGTTACTTTTTGGTATCCTGAAAACTCACCTTCATTTGAAAGACAGCTGTAATGCATTTACAATGCATTAATTCCAATAAGAAATCTACTGTCAACCTTTTATTTATTCCCATGTATGTAATGTATCTTTTTTCTCTCACTGGCTTTAAATTTTTTTTCTTTACAACAAATCTTGAACAATTTCATAACATACTGAAGTTTTCTTCATGTTTTTATGCTGCAGTTTACTGAGTTTCTTAGAACCATAAATCTATAATTTAAATCAAATTTTGATAAATGTTGGATATTGCTTCTTGAAATATTTCTGTCACTCTCTCTCATTTCTCTCTTCCCAGATTCCAGTCACCAATGTTGATGGCCATTTGAATTTTCCCATGGTTAACTGATATTCTCTCTTCCTTACATTTTTTTCACTCAGTGATTAATTTCAGATAGTCGTATGGCTTTTATCTTTAAGTTCACTAATATTTTCTTTTCTAATGTTTAATCTACTGTTAATAACAGCTTATTTTTTCATCTTAGACAAAGTTTATATCTCTAAAAGTTTTTTTGTCTTTTTTACATCAGTAACTAAATTGAGAATATTTGATCTTTCATCTAGCTTTTCAATCATATGAGATAGCTACAATAATTAGTGTTTTCTTTGTTCATACTAGCATCTATGTTAGTTCTGGGATAGTTTCGAAGGACTGATTTTCCCTCTTCCTTATGGGTCAAGTTTTTCTGCTTATCACACTGGGTATGTTTTAATATATCCCCAAATTTGTAAATTTTGCCTTGTTGGATGCTTGACTTAATTATATACCTATAATATTCTTGAATTCTCCTGTGGGATAGTTAACTGGAATTTGTTTGATCCTTTGATCCTTTGGGTTCCTGCTTTTAAAATAGGTGGAGGCAAAATTCTTCTGCATACTCCACCCAATGCCCCAGAAATTATGAAACTTGCCAGTAAAACTAGTGGGAAAGACCCTACTCCTGGCCCAATGTTAGTCTTGTATTCTTTCATGTAGTTTTTTTTATAGATGGTTCTTTCCTAGGTCTAGGGTAGTTTCTTCAATGAATGCTCTTCTGAATTGATGATGAGGACCCCCTGCAGGCATCCAAAGTGATGTTACTGTTAGATTTTCACCACTGAGGTACTACACTACCTAAACTCCTGCCTCCTTGGTCTCTGCAGACTCACAGCTCTGTCTCTCAACTATGTGGATCCATCAAGCTTCTCCTGGGTTCCCCACCACCCCTACCCCACCAGTCATGGCCTGGAAACTGTTAAAGCAACGAGCTGAGATAATTGTACAATTCACAGTTTCCCCAACCTGAACTCTCAGGGGGCATTATCCTTTGTTATCATATGTCCAGTATCTTGAAGATCTTTATTTCCTATAATTTTTCCAATACTTTTGGTTGTTTCAGGTGAGAGTTTTTGGTGAGAAATGGAAGTCACACTTTAGACATGGCACATGGCACTAGGTTGGCCTATTTAAGCAAGAAAAAGAGCTCTCTTCTCTAAATTTATCTGTATAAGTTGAATTAACATATAGTGTCTGAAAGCATGTTATTTTTATCAGAGGTACACTAAACAAGGAAATTGGTAGCTTTCATGCTCTTATTTAATCTTTGTCCAACAACAGGATGCTGTAAATTTAGAAATCTTTCTCAGGATAGATGTTGTATACAAAGATTATGGTTTGGCTTACTGCTAGAAAAATTGAGAGAATGGGATCAACTGTCAGGTGTTCTGGTAACAAACAGAATGCAATATTCCTAATATGGCATCAAGGTTGAGTCACAGCCTTTATATATAATCCTTTGTCTCTTTTTTTAATTATTATTAATATGTTTTGTTATTGATTTCAGAGTGAGGGAGAGAGAGAGAGAGATAGAAACATTAATAATGAGACAGGATCATCAATTGGCTGCCTCCTGCACGGCCCCCCTGCCCACTGGAGATCAAGCCTACAACCTGGACATGTGCCTTGACTGGGAATCGAACAATGATCTCCTGGTTCATGGGTTGATGCTCAACTACTGAGCCACACAGGCCAGGCCTTTGTCTCTCCTTTTACTGTAAGGGAAAAATAACCTGTTTTCAATACCCCCTGTCCCTCAGCATTACTACAGCAGAACTGGCAGCTCACTCCTCATTGGCTAATTTGCACACATGTTTAAAATATTAAAAATAGGTGCATTCTTCTTATTGGTTCAATAACTGTATCTTGCTAAATGTTCTAAAGAAAATAAGGTAAAAGTTTTCTTACTGTTACCACCTGAAGATATTCATATTGAAGTTACAACCAATATTCATATTAATATTACATTTAGTCCATTTAAAATGTTTTACTTTTGTTAAATAATCAATATTTATACATACATAATCAATATTTATCTTCACCATTCCAAAAGCCAAAACTATCACAGTTCAGACATATTAAGAAAATAAAATTTCATGGTGTAGTCAGTTATTCATGAAACCAAATTTTTAAACATGAATTTCTTGAAAATATATATATTCATAGTCATATAGTTCTTTAACTTTCTAAAACACGCAAACGGAATGAAGTATTTTAAGGATCTAGCTCAATCTCACTTTATTAAGTGGTAAACTCGGTCAGAATAGACCTGTCACTCTCCAAAGCCACACATACCCTTATAGAGGCATAAAGAGTGGTTATTCAAAAGAAGAAAGTATTCACCATCCTTATGGCAGGAGTGCTTTTTGCAATAAACTTAATGTTGCTAGTCTCTAACCCTACCTGTTTCTCATGATTTGACACAGGTGAGAATATGGGTAAGACCACAGAATTTAAAATGTAATCATAAACTAAGTAGAATTAATCAGAGAAAAAGAAATAAAAGTTCATATTGTTTTCATTTACAGTGTGATTTTAATATCGTTTGTACTATATACTCATGGAGAAAATAAAACTTTTTCATAAATCATCTAGAAAAAGTTATTATTTTGGCTACACATTCTTTTGATTTATGAGAATTATCAGTAAGGAAAAACTAGTTAGGTAGCATTCACAAAAGCAGCCTTTTAAAAAAATTGTTTTAAACTAAATATTAGAAATTATGAAAAATAGCCAAAAAGTATTTATGTATATTCACTTTTATAGCATGACTAAGGCCATAGCTATTCCAATAGTGCATTGTGGCATAGAATAGTTTTGCATATTTAATTTAAAAATTCCTTTTGTTATAGGTAGTTTGGGCCAATTCATATAAAGTTGGTTGTGCAATTACAGTTTGTCCTAAACTTGGGAGAGCTGAAACTGCAATATTTATATGTAACTATGGACCTGAGTAAGTTACTTTGCTATTAAAACTATTTTACATTGAAATAAATGTTAAGAATTGTTTCCAAAAATAGGGTCTAAGACTAAAAAGACAGGTATATATCTAAGAAATGAAGTCTCTATAAAGATAATCAAAAGAAAGACATGAAAATAGAAAGTGGTGAAAGAATATTACCTTGTGTAAAGAATTATACCTATCATGAAATACTTAAAGTTTAGAGTGAAATAATGGGCATTGTTTGTTAAGTAAAACAACCAATAATATAAAGTGCATTGCTACGCTAAATACTGGAACACAAAATAGGCTAGCAGATACTTTCCTAATATAACGTAACATAACAGGAGTGAGCAAGTGATTCAGAATGATAGTGAAAAGCACATTTATCTAAGAAAAAAATACCATCATTTTTATTGCCTTTTTGATAACTGCACATCTAAATGGAAATATAATATAAGCCTAATGGGAGGCTACAAAAATAAAATTCTGGAACTCTAATCTCTGTGATCTGTACAACAAAGAAGATAAAATCCATTCACAACCCCATCCATTTAACAAACAAAAATATTAAAATAAAATGTACAAAATAAAAAACACAGGCATAGAATAAATATACAGAATTGATAAAAAGAACCTGACATGTGCCAAAACTGCTATGGAGAAGTACAAATGTGTATATTTATTTCTGATTTCTTCTACTCCTTCTCAGTTAGCAACAGAAATGCAAAACTTAAAGAGAAGAAAAACAAAGGAGAGATGAAGCAAACAGAATAAATAAGAAGATAGCCTCAATTTTAACTATGTCAATAATCACATCAAATGAAAAGGCTGAGATTGTGAGATTGGATAAAAAAATCAAGAACCAATTATATGCTGCCTACAAAAAGCATACTTTAAATATAAAGACACAAATGCATTAAAAGTAAAAGGATGGAAAAAGCTTTACTACACTAACATTAGGCAAAATAAAGCTGCAGAGTCTATATTAATATAAGATCATGTGAATTTCAGAGCAAAATATGCTGCCAGGATTAAAGAAGGTCATTAAAAATAATAATTGGGTAAATTAATCAAGAGGCAACTTGGATAAAATGAACAAATTTCTCAAAAGATACAAATTACAAAGGAGAAATAAAAGGAAAAGATAACTACAGAGCAGTCTCTCTTATGAACATAGGTACAAAAATTCTAGACAAAATTTAGCAGTTGAATCCAATAATATAGTAAAAGCATAATGCACTTTATCCAAATGTAGTTTATTCCAGTAACGTAGGCCTGATTTACCATTCTAAAATCAATCCATGTAATTAGCCATATCAATCAGCCTAAAAATAAAGATCATGGGATCATCTCACTAGACTGAGTAAAAGACATTCATTCCTAATAAAAGTTCTCTGTCCATTAGAAACAGAAGGAAACATCTTAAACCTAATAAAGGCTTCTGTGAAAAATCTGCATGTAATGTTATACCTAACAGTACAAAAATTTTCTGTAAAGTTCCAGACAGTACTTTTTCTGTAAAGTATATAGTAAAAATGTTAGGCTTTGCAGAACACATGCATCCTGTTACATATTCACATTTGTGATTTTGTATTGTTTTAAATAAGCCCTTAAAAATATAAAAAAACAATTCTTAGCTCAAAAACTGCACAAAAACAGACCAAAGGCCAGATTTGGCCTATGGGCCACACTTTGCTGACTGCTGGCGTATGGATCTATACAGGAAATCTAATGAATTCTATGAAAACTTCTCTAGAACTAATAAGTAAGTTTAAAACTTTTTCAGGATACAAGATCAAGATACAAAACTCAATTGCATGCCAATATACTAGCAATGAACAATCATAAATTGAAATAAATATGACAGAAGATATGAAGGACTATACACTGAAAATTACATAATATTCTCAAGATAAATTAACATACACAAACAAATAGGGAGATATACCTTGTTAATAGGATAAAAAACTCAATATTGTTTAAATGTAATTTTTCACTAAATTGGTCTATAGAGTCAATATAATTGCAATANTTGCAATATCATTTATAATAGTTTTAAAAATATAAATTAGGAATAAATATGACAGAAGATATGAAGGACTATACACTGAAAATTACATAATATTCTCAAGATAAATTAACATACACAAACAAATAGGGAGATATACCTTGTTAATAGGATAAAAAACTCAATATTGTTTAAATGTAATTTTTCACTAAATTGGTCTATAGAGTCAATATAATTGCAATAAGTATCTTGGCAGGCCTTTATTGTAAAAACTGACAAACTTTGATTCTAAAATTCATATGGAAATGCAAAGGACTTAGAATAGCCAAAACAACTAAGAAAAAGAACAAATTTGAAAGACTATTTTTTCAATAATTATTATAGCTAAAAATAATCACAACATTGTGATATTGATATAATATTAGACAAATGGATCAGTGGAACATAATAAGGAGTCCAAAAATAAATCTACACATGGTTGACCACATGTTCAACTGATTTTTCATAGATGCACAAAGGCAATGCAGTGGAAGAGATTTTTCAAGAAATGCTGCTGGAACAATATGTCATCTATACATAAAAAACAAAAAGTAATCTTGAATCTACACAAAATAAAACCTACAAAAATAACTCAAAACAGATTTTAAACCTAAATGTAAAATCTAAACTATAAAACTTGTAGAAGAAAACATAGATGAAAACTTTGTGACCTTAATATAGCCAAAATTTTTTAGCTACCACACCAAAAGCATGATCCATAAAAGAACAAACTGACAAGGTGGACTGCATTAAAATTAAAATTACAACTATTCAAAGACACTGGTAAGAGAATAAAAAGATAAGCTACAGACTGGAAGAAAATTTTTGCAAAACATATCAGATGAAAGACTTATACCAAGATTATAGAAAGAACTGTCACAATTCAATATCAGGAATACTTAAAACAATAAAAAATTAATAAAAGGTTAATGAAGAAAATTTGAAGATGGCAAATAAGCAATGATAACAACCTCAATATCATTAATCATTAGGGAAATACAAATTAAAACCACAATGAATACTGTTGCACAACAATCTGAATGGCTAAAGACTGATAATTCCAAATCCAGAGGAAGATGTAAAGGAACTAGAATTCCCAACCACAGCTAGTGGGAATATAAAGTGTCACAACTATAATATAAACACAGAGTGGTAGTTTCTTAAAAAGTTAAATATGCACTGATCATATAATCAATTTATTTCACTCCTAGATATGTATTATAGGAAATGTATGTCCATAAAAAGACAAATATGAATGTTCAAAATGTGTATAGTAACTTTACATGTAATAGTCAAAACCTGGAACAACCCAAATGTCCAAACGAATGAATGGATAAATGAACTGTGGCTTATTATTTAATGGTATACTGGTAATCTTATTAGTGTTTTCCTTTGTGTACTCTAAGTAACATTTTTAAAAGTCTTCCACAAATACAGAGATGGAAAAAAACAAACAAACAGATTTGTTATAATATATCAGGCATAACATCTGTTAAGTAGTTGACCAAATGGTACCATTTTTTTGGTACAGCATCAAACAGGACAAGATAAGGACTATGGTATTATACTTTTAAACTAAGTCATAAAGCATATGTTTCCATTTACAATTTAAATTTTGCTTATTCTATTTACAAAATAAAAAGAACTCATAGCATTCAGCAAAAGGAAGACAAACAACCCAATTATGAAATGGGCAAAGGACTTAAATAGATACTTTTCCAAAGAGGACATACAGATGGCCAAGAGACACATGAGAATCATCAGAGAGATGCAAATTAAAACCACAACGAGGTATCACTTCACACCTGTCAGAATGGCTGCCATCAACAAATCAACAAACTACATGTGCTGGAGAAACTACATGGGGTGTGGAGAAAGGGGGACCTAGTGCACTGCTGGTGGGAATGCAGACTGGGGCAGCCACTATGGAAAGCAGTATGGAGGTTCCTCAAAAACTTAAAAATGGAGCTGCCATTTGACCCAGTGATCCCACTCCTAGGAATGTATCCTAAGAATCCTGAAACATTCATCAGAAAGGATATATGCACCCCTATGTTCATAGCAGCACAGTTTACAATAGCTAAGATCTAGAAACAGCCCAGGTGCCCATCAGTAGATGAGTGGATTAAAAAGCTGTGGGACATTTACACCATGGAATACTACGCAGCTGTAAAGAAGAATCTCATACCCTTTGGGGCAGTATGGATGGACCTGAAAAATATTATGCTAAGTGAAATAAGCCAGGCAGATAAAGAAAAATATCACATGATCTCGCTTATACGTGGAATCTAAAGAACTTAATAAACCGATGAGCAGAATAGATTCAATGACATGGAAGCATAGATGAGATTGATGAATGTCAGAGGGATGGAGGAGGGCGGGTGGGTGGAGGGGGAGAAACCAAAGGACATATATGCACAACCCAAGGACACAGACAATGGTGGGGAGAGGGACTGGGGAGGGGGAAGGAACAAGGGGGGGAATGGGTCATTGGGGAGAAAAAGGGACATCTGTAATATTTTAAACAAAAATAAAATTAAAAAAAAAAAAAGAGATAATCTTAGTGTTCTACAAGAAACAAACGAAAAATCTGTGGCTGTCACATACATAATTACACTGGGTTCATATCTAATTTATGTCTTACAGAATATTCAAGAATATGACTCCCTGGCTGGGTAGCTCAGTTGGTTAGAGCATCGCCCTGACATGCCAAGGTTGTGGGTTCTATACCCAGTCAGGGCACATACAAGAATCAACCAATGAATGAATAAATAAGTGGAACAACAAATTGATCTCCCTCTCTTAAAAAAAATTAAAAAATAAAAATATTTTTTTTTTTAAAAAAGAACTGTGACATATTAAGAACACACTGTAAAGAACAGTTTTAAAGTTTCTTTTTACAAAAGAAATTAGCATAAAATTGGGATAAGTTATTTTCCTTTCAACATTCATTACTTAATGAGCAGCCAAAATAAAAAAATGAATGCACCAAATTAGAGGAGTGAATAGTCATTTGGCTACTCAATGTTTCTCTTTTTTATAGGGGAAATTACCTAAAGATGCGCCCTTACACTAAAGGAGAATCCTGCTCTATGTGCGAAAAAGAAGACACCTGCAGAAACAACCTCTGCGGTAAGCAAAAAGGGAAAAAAATTGTAACATTCTATTTGGAGAGCAAAGTTTCCATAAATTCATTATATTTTCAAATTTAGCTCTCATCAGGTTTATAGAGAATTTATGGACAAGATTTGATTGCTGCTATATGATGATATAAATCATTTGTCATAAATCATATTTCAACTCAAATGCCTCTCCCCCTTCACTCATTTTCTCTCAGGCTAAAGGACAGATAGGAGTGAGGTTTAACTGATCCACTGTGCCGCTACACAGTATATACTTGCTGCTATACAAAGAACTATTAGTTAAAATGCTTATTTGCATTTGCTTCCATTCTCCTCCTTTTATTAGTTATTATTAACATAGTGACTTATTCAGAAGTAATTCAGTAATCAATGTACAAATTAATTGTGATTTAAAACTAATGTTTCCCTTCCATTATCAGAATATTGGTTCTCAGAACAAAGATACTTTTTTTTAATTGATTTCAGAGAGAGGAAGGGGAGAGGGAGAGAGACAGAGAAACATCAATGATGAGAGAGTCATTGATAGGCTGCCTCCTGCATGCCCCCCACTCGGCACTGAGCCCGAAACCCGGGCATGTGCCCAGACCGGGAATCAAACCTCGACCTCCTGCTTCAATAGTTCAAAGTTCAACCACTGACCCATGCCAGCCAGGCCAAAGATACTTTTTAACATTAAATGTACAAATTCTTTGATTGAAGATAAAGTAAGATGGGTGAAGGGGTAGATGATTCAGAAATTGTTTTTTTAAAAAAAAAAAAAAAAGTTGTAATGCCAGGAAACAAGACAGACACAAAAAGAAAGCATATTAAATGATTTCATTTACATAAAGTTCAAAATCAGGCAAAACTAATCTACATTTGGAATCAGGTTAGCAGTTACCTTTGGAGAGGAAAGAGGAGTTAGTAATTACAAGAGGATACCAAAAGGTTATCTAGGTATGTCCACTTTGTAATAATTAACCAGACTTTCCATGATACATGTATGTTTGTATATCCATGTTATGCTTCAACTAAAGAATGAATTAGAGTATTGTCCCTCTAATTTCAGATTTCATTCAAAGCAATTTAAAAAATAAACTTATTGCATTATGTCCCATTTGGAAACTAATGTTTTCTAGTCAAAGACATAAAAAGGTAATAATGAAACACTCTTTTTTTTCCACTTCTCCTTCCTGCCCAGTATCCAAGCCACTGTCATGTCATTTCTTTCCTGAACTAGTCCAGTCTACCACTTCCCTTTGTACTCTACTCCAAACTGTTTCACACAAAGAAAATCAGATCAAATACCTTCTTTCCTTAAAATTCCTCAATTGCTCCTTACTGCAACTGAAGAAAAATCTTACTCAATGCCATGTAGCTGCCAAGCCCATGTTTTTGTTACCCTCCCTAAGCTCCATTATCAACACCTTTCAGTATTCCAACCTCTTTCTAAAAACTCCAGCATCCAAATCACTTGTGGGTCTGTTTCTACTTTCAATGTTGTTTTGTTTTCTCTTAGTTTATTAATAATGCTGTTTCTTGGTGTGTACATTGACTTTAAAGATGGCCACCAACTATTCCTCCCCTCCTTTACATGCATTGCCTCTACTCCCATCAAGGAGTGGAGCTTATTTCGCCTCACCTTGAATAAGGGACTTGATATTGTGCGGGTTCTGGGCCTGGCCTTTAAGAGATCTGGCAGCTTTGGCTTTTACTGTCTTGGAAGCTCCCAGTGTATCGAGAAACCCATGTTCTCCTGCTCAAGAAGTCACATGGAGAAAGGCCCTGGAAGAGGAGTGGTCATCTTTCTGTTTCAACCCCTACTGAACTACAGTGGAATGCAGCCATGACACTGAATCCTTATGACATTACATATAACAGAAATTGCCTAGCAGAGCCAGACAACTGTGAGAAATAGTAATAAATTGTTATTGTTTTAAGCCATTACATACATTGCAGAAACACTTGGTGTGACTAGTAAGTTTTTATTAAACACCTATCCTATGTGGGGGGAAAACTATAGAAAGTTCTAGCTTTTCTTCTGCTAAACAGATAGACTTGGGGTTGTTCGGCTTAATCCAAATACAATTTAGTCAAAGCTGGGTTAGAATATAGGTAAAGCTGTCTGTCTCTGTTTACCTCTGTTCCAAGGGTGTAGATTTCCAGGGCTTTCCACGGAGAGGCTGAGGTGTTCACTTGTCTTTTCCTGGTGGGTTCTGAACTCCAATCTCTTATTGCTTTAGAACACTGGAATTACTAAAAAATCTGCTTTCATTTCCAGGGCTTTCAGCCTAGGGATTTAACTTTCTGCCCCTCACAGCTTCAAAATTAAAATAACTTGAGTACAAAATGGATACCCGTTGGGCTCACTTCCTCCATCTCTATCACTCACCTGAATCTTGACCTACTCAATTCTTCAATTTTATCTCTCCAGCATTGCAAGACCAACAAAAGCTCAGCTGGTTTCTCTTTTTCCCCAAAATCGGCTTCTGCCAGAGCAAAGCCCATATACAGTATTCAGTCCTTGACCTGGACCCAGAATCAAAAAATGGCCCCAGAGAAACAGCAACATTCATAACATCAGCCCACCTTTCTATGGATCTCCTGCTCTGAAATCTTCACCCTCTAGTCTTTGTTGCTTTGAATCTTTGGTGCTCTTAAACATCACTTTGTTGTATTTTATTTGGATTTTCTAGCTGTGCTTGGTGAGAGCTTTTTCTGTCACAAATAACTCCACGGCTGAGACTTAAGCGGGTATTGACAGTGGTCTCCAATACAGCACTACACAAGCTGCAAAGTCCACAATAAATTTTGAGACCTGGTAGGAGTTCTCCAACTTGTTCTTTTTCCAGTTGTTCAGAAATTATTTGGTTATTCTTGGCCCTTTGCTCTTGAAAATTAATGTTGTGATAGGCTTATCATTTCCACAGATGATCTTGAAATTTTGGTTGGCATTACATTGAACTTACAGGTTAATTTAAGAAGAATTAACATCTTTATAGCACTGACTATATTAATAAAGGTTGTTTATTTGGGTCTTTAAAGGACTTTCAGTTAAGTTTTAAATTTTTCTCAGTAAAGGCTTTACACATAAAATTAGATTCCTTAGTAACATGTATTTGTTGTTTTAAAGTGACATTTTAAAATTATATTTCCTAATTGATTTTCGCTGATTTGAAAAAATCTAAGTTATTTTTATATTAGTCTACTATCCAGGACTCTTACATAATTCTCTTATCAATAGTTTGTTAATAACCTTGGATTTTCTCTCTTTTTTAAAAAATATATTTTTACTGATTTTTAGAGAGAGGAAGGGAGGGTAATAGAGAGCTAGAAACATAGACAAGAAAGAAACATCAATCCGCTGCCTCCTGCATGCCCCCTAGTGGGGATCCACCCCGCAACCCAGGCATGTGCCCTGACCCTGACCTCCAGGTTCATGGGCCCACTGATGCTCAACCACTGAACCACACCGGCTGGATTTTCTTAATGTTCTATATAAAAATACGTTTGTCCTGTCATCTAACCTTTATATCAGTTTTTATTACTAATATTAATAGTCAGTCAATCTTCCAATGTAATGTTGGACATAAGTTGTAATAGTGGACAGCATTCTCCTATTCCTGACTATAAGGACAATGTTTCAACGTTACATATATTGGTTTTTTGGGTTTTTTTAATCCTCACCTGAGGATATTTTTTCTATTGCTTTTCAGAGAGAGTGGGAGAGAGAGGGAGAGAGAGAGAGAGAAAGAAAGAGAGAGAGAGAAAGAAAGAAACATACATGTGAGAGAGACACATCGATTGGCTGCCTCCAGCACACATCCCGGCTAGGGCCAGGGATCAAGCCTGCAACCAAGATAACTGCCCTTGGTGGGAACTGAACCAGGGATCTTTAGTCCATGGGCCGATGCTCTGACCACTGAACCAAACCGGCCAGGGCTAGATTGTTTTTAATTAATCCTCACTGCCAGATTATGGTAGTTTTCTCTTTCTCTATTTTGCTAAGAGCTTTTATCTTGAATAAATGTTTAATTTTACCATATTTTTTTCTGCATCTCTTGAAATGATCCCCAATTTTTTCCCTTTATGTTGTAAACTTCATCAAAGGATTTCTTTCTTTTTTCTTTTTGGAAACTGTTTTGGAAGTATTACTTTGTAAGTTTAATTTTTTAAAAGTTTATTTGTGCTCTCAATTCCTCTTTGAATAAATACATTTAAAAAAATACTGGTCCAGACCGGCCAGTGTTGCTCAGTGATTGAGCATCAACCCATGCACCAGGAGGTCCCCAGTTCGATTCCTAGTCAGGGCACATGCCCGGGGTTGATTCCCCAGCAGGGGGCATGCAGGAGGCAGCCGATGGATGTTGATGTTTCTCTTTCATTGATGTTTCTCTCTCTTCCTCACCCTTCTTCTCTCTCTAAAATCAACCATTTCAGTAATATTTTAAAATTATTGTAAAGAGAGACATGGTGGTTTTAAATTTATTATTATTTTTTTAAACATTAATATACTTTTATTGGGTATAAAGTCGATTTTCAGATTTTTCTATTTATCCCAAAGAATGCACTTTGTTCATAGTTCACCTGTTCACCTGTTCCCATCAAGGATCTCACACATTGTAATTAGTTGTTATGTTTCTTTCTCTTTTTTTTTTAGTTTATCTTTATTGTTGGTATTATAATGTTCTCTTTTTCCCCCTTCCCCCTGCAACCCTCCCCCCCAGGCCTT